CATTCCCCCCTTCCCCCTGTATTCTTCTAGCATTCTTTCCTTGTTATGATGCTGTGTCTATTATAGCTCATTACCTGATGCTTGAATATCGGACAAATCATTACAAATATAATGTGCTTCAACTTTCATGTTCTTATTGTTCTTTTAAATGATTCCCACTTTCTTTTTCCTGATTGTAGGAACGTTGTGCTTTGCCTCGGGCAAACCTGCCAAGGTATGGTCATATTGGGGGCGAAGTTATTGATATGATTATTTTATATGAATACTCGACTCGGTAATGGCTCATGGTATATCTATATTGATGTGGAACTCTACAATTCTTGATTTCTATGCCTGGATCCAGGTGAAGGACATGTTTTCTCCTTTCCCCCCTTCTTTTTTGTGGTTTCGAAAACAGATTTACGAAAAGATGTCTTTACATTGAAGCGAAACATATTGAACAATATCATCATGAATCACTCATGTGGATCTTACCTATGTAGAACCGCACACTGAAATCTTTTTGAAGGACTGCCCTACACTAGGTACCCCCACCCCAAACTCTGATCCCAAACAATTTTCCCTACCGGGGGCACGTGTGGTGGAGTTCAGCAATCACCCCTGTTTTCTGGTTGCCCCGCCTTGCCCTACCCAACTTTATTCATTCTCGTATGATCACGCGTTTTTCTTTGCATTTTTATTTGTACCACTCGGAGCTTCCCGGACATGAACGCACCTCACCCTGCAACCAGTAACACCATGAACAGGAATAATGGCAAATATAGAACACAATAGCAGTGAGAGTTGGATCAAATTATTCGTGGTAGCACTAGGTCCAATTCATTAGAATGATAACATGTTTATGTACAAAAAAAATACAGACCAATTCATGTTTTTTGGAGCATTGGATGATCAATTAGTACAAGTCTTTAATCAGAAACATTTGGTCGTTGAGTGACACTAGAATTTTGACAATATTAGAAGATACAAATTATGCCCTTTTTATGGGTTTTGGAAACCAAAATTTGGGGTCTATTTGACATTAATTTTTAATTTAATTTCTCTTTTTAAAAAATACCCAAAAGGCGTCATTGTTAATTCACAAAAAAACATTGCAGTGACAATTTTTTTCTTGTTCACGACAAAATAATCATGATATGGACAATTAAAAAAACAGACATAAGTATTATATAATGCCAAGAATCATGCCAAATGAAAACATTTATTAAGTCACTTATACAATAAACCACTCACTCTTCCACACCATCATTAGAAGTTTTTCTTTCATATCACTAAGAGTATTAGTTCAAATTCTTGGCTAAGTTTCACACTCAATTTTTTTTTAAATTATCAAATTGTGTTTTTTTTGTTTTATTATGTTTGTCTCACTTTACCATGGAGTAATTTTGTGCCCCCTAACATTTTAATTTCATGCAATGCTTGGTTATACTAGAGTGGTTCATATCCTTTTTCATTTAATTACATAATCTTATTTTCCTTAACTTTTGTATCATAAATTTATGCTTAAAAATAGTGGGATGGAAGGAAGGGGTGGGGTAATGGTATTTATGCTCAATTGGGAGAAACAAATTCAATACAAGTATATATTAGGGAACGATTTTTGGATGAAATACTCCGTATAAAACAAGTACTCGTATAAAATATGGATCAATTGACTCATCTAGAAAACAAGTACTCTTTTTCGTCCATAAATAAAGTTCTTGTAGCGCGTCACGATGTTTGACTGAAGTTATTTTCAAATCATTCCATATGAAAAATGTTATAGAATTAAAAAGTAAAATTTACATATTTTGAAACTAAATGAAAAGATCTACAAAACTAAAACTGACATTACTATATTATTTTATCGAATATGAAACGAAAATAGGCTAATAGAGTAAACAAAATTTGATCCTATTAATAGTGAACGAAAACTTTATTTATGGACGGAAGAAGTATAAAATATGAATGAAAACAAGTATGATCAATTCACTCATCTAGAAATACTTGGCATAAAATATATGGATGGAAGTAGAAGATGAATTGGGTCTTTATATATTAGGGAACATTCTATTGCTAACAACTCTTAATTAGACAGTAGACATAACATGTTAGTTAGTGAGCATAAATATCATGATTATCGGCACTTATATTGTTTTAAATAATTTGCCATCATTAAGTTGATGGACGTGCAACTAACCGACCCATGGCCCCAGGTCACTTGGCCATAATAATCTCTCAAAAGTTGACTGAAATTTCGAGTTTTTGAAAAGACGACTAAATTTATTTAAAAAATTACTACTCCCTTCGTTCCATAAAATCCACATCTATTAAAAAATCACTTTTACCTCTATTTTTTTATACCATACCTATCACATCATACATTTTCAGTAATAACCAAACTATCACATCTCACTTTTTTATCCATCATACCAGGGGTAAAATTGGAAAGTCAACCAAAATTATACTTTCCTTATTTTGGTCCAAAGTCAAAATAAGAATGGTTTTAAGGAACGGAGGAAGTATGATATTTTTAAAAAAAGATTACACGGAGTATTTAAGATGTTCTCTAACATTAAAAAATACAGAGTAATTTATATACTCCCTCCGTCCTATAATGATCTTCCCAGAGCACTATTCCAACTTCACGGGAATTTGTATTTATTTGTGTTTTTTCATGGCCTATATGATAAAATAAAATATTCTTGTCACCACTTGTTTTGTTGAACTTTTGATGTAGTTTTTAAATATGTATGTTTTATTTTTTATTTCTATACCAATATTTAAATAAAATAGATTGAAAAAACTTGGGATTTTTCTTCGTTTTGCGAACCGAGAAGATCATTATAGGACGGAGGGAGTATCTCCTACAGGGTATATGCCAAATTTAGTTTAATTAATCTGGTTAGACATGGATTCTAAGAAAAAATATACGAAAAGAATTAAAAAAAACTAATAACAAAGAAATGAGTGGTAAATGGGTAATAAAAGCTGTGCCACAATTCATTTGGGATGTTAAAATAATCAGTCAGCTAGCATATTGTCCGCTCTGGGCCAAGGACCACACAACTTCCGACCTACCCTCCAGCGGTAATCCATTTATTTTATCTGCTAACGGCTAACCATCTTGCACCGCCGCACACTCTTTGCGGGACACGCTGCCCGACCTCTTGTCAGGAAGACTTTCGACGCAAGGCTTGAACCGCATATATTTCCTTCGCTGGGCTACACCATTTGATCCGCCAAATCATCTTGTAACGCCGTGGCTATAACTTCACGGGACACGCCACCCGACCTTCTCTCGTTGGGAAGACTTTTGACACAAGGCACCACATGCAGATCCTCTTTCTTGGTTTGGACCCTATTTTTACACCGTCACACCGAGATTTTTCCGCACTACACAGTCCGCTGCTCACGCCCGCAAGAACCTGAGCTCGGATACCACATGTTGGGAGTGTGCGTGCCTCACCCCAACCCCGCATCAGTATGATATTGTCCGCTCTGGGCCAAGCTCTCACGGATTTGTTTTTGGGCACCTACCAAAAGGCCTCATACTAATGGGGTTGGGTGAATCTATATATTTTTGTTCAATTACTCCTAAACATCCGGTGTGGGATTTGGAGGAATAATCCCCAACAAAAACAAAAGTATGGGTCTTAAACGTTGATAGATTACTACTCCCTCCGTTCTATAAGACTATCACATCATACTTTTTTACTAATAATCAAACTATCACATCTTACTTTTTCCATCACATCAGGGGCAAAATTGGAAAGTCAACCAAAATTACACTTTCCTTATTTTTTCCCAAAGTCAAAATCGGAAGGGTTTTGTGGAACAGAGATAGTATGAACTAGCATGATCGAGTTTTGAATTTCACAACGTATCCGCTAAGGAATCCAAATTATCCAATGTTTCAAAAGTCATTTTCCTTCTTGGCTCTTCAATAAACTCATTGTCCTTGAGCCCATCAAGGTGCGAGTTTGAACGAAAGGTCCTGCCCCTTGGACCCCGCCAGGGGCTGCCGCCCCTTGGACTCCGCTATCCGGGGGTTACCGCCCCCGGACCCCCGCTATCCCGGGGGTTGCCGCCCCCAAACCCCTGCAGTGAATTTATAATATTGTTGAACGAGTGCGCACTCCGCACCTCCTAACTCGTTTGACAATGTCTATTTAAATTCTTATCCCATCAAAGTAAATCCAATTACACAAAATAAATTGATGACACTAAAATCACCAACACTATGAACCTCCTTTTAGCTCATCAAAGTTCTCCGAGACTTTTTGTAGAATCTAGAATGATAATTTTTTAGTCATAAAACTAGTAAACATGTATTTCTGGTCTCTAAATTCACTCTACTTTTTTAGTTTGAGATATCTAAAATTTAATTTTACAACTCTTCACTCTCTATTTTAGAAAATGAATATGTGGAGCATTTAAATTCTTTCAAATGAATTTTTTATACACACCCACAAATTTTGCACTTTTTGTCAAACGTTTTTTACCCTTGAATAATTTTTTTTTGGAATTTCATGTTGTCAAATGACCATATTGATTAAATTGATTGATATATACTTCATCTGTCCACAAATAAACTTTACGTTGTGCGTTACGATATTTGACTGAAGTTATTTTCAAATCATTTTATATGAAAAATGGTGTAGAATTGAAAAATAAAAATTATATCAAAAGATCTACAAAACTAGAGGTGACATGACTATATTATTTTATCAAATGAGTGACGAAAATAGGCCAACAAAGTGAATAAAGTTTGACAATGTGAATAATGAACGAGAAGTTTATTTGTGGACGGAGAGAGTATACATACTCCACCCATTCCAAAAAGATGTTTCTGTAACACTTCTATCCATATCTAAAATATCTAAAATTTATCACATTTATTCTTTGTTGTGGGTAGAAGTTAATTTGACATTTGAGACGGAATATAAATGTTTTATGAGATACGCACAAAATGAAACAGTACCCCATCTTCAAGGGATGGAGGGAGTTCTTTACATAGAAGAGAGAGTAAAATTTTATTTTATGTATATTGTACACCAAAAATTAAGTACAACAAATGTATGGAATTTGTTTTAATGAAGACCCCGTCAATCAATCCAACAAACTCAATCCTAGCTCCAAATCTAAAGATTTACTACTTGGTTTATTATTATTATTATTATTATTATTATTATTATTATTATTATTATTCAAAGTAGCACATGTTGGCCCTTTCGCCGCCGCCGGACGATAACAATCATTCATCATGTTCATCGTCGTTTCCGGCCGCGGCAATAATACCTCCGGCGACGATGAGGACGTGAGTTTCGCCGGGTGAATCTCCGGCCAGTTCTTCCCGGAGAGCGTGAAGGCCGGAGACGAATTCCGGCGAAACATATCGTGGGCCCCGAACCGGATTTGCCACGAAGCCCCCGGTGGCGGGGAAGTTACGACGTCGTAACCGTAGGGACCCGCGACGGCGGCGTAATTATTCTGGAGCGCCGCCGCGGGCGGCTGTTGGAGATAGTAGCAGTTCATCATGAGACTCTTCTTCTTCTTCATTATTATCCTCTCCTTCTTGTGGGCGTTTTGATGGCCTCCCAAAGCTTGAGAGTTCCCAAACTCTTTGCAACAATATTGGCATTCAAATCTCCTGTTACTGTTGTTGTTGTTGTTGTTGTTATTGTCGTTTTCCGAGGAAGAAGACTGGGACGGTTTCTCCCTGTCGGACGTCGAGACGGTGGAAGACGACGACGAGAAGTCTTCTTGACGTAGTGGGCCCACCGTCTCCGCCTTCGATCCGAAGGCGGGGGTGTCGAGCTCGACGCCGAACAACTTCAGCTTCTTCCCCGCCGGAGTGGGCTCCACAATGGTGTTTCTGGTGTTGGCTCTGTACTTGCATGGAGATGATGGAAGGGACTTATAAGAGACATCATTAACCATTTTTTTTGTTTTCTTGAAAAGATATAATCAAAGATTTAATTTGTATGGTTTTAATGGTATGTAATGTAAGAATATTGTTTGGCCATTCGTCTCTCTTATATAGTACTCCTATGTCACACGTAAGTCAATGTGATGTTTTTTTATTTAATATAAAAATAATTATTAAAATAGTAGGGGCACAAATGTACTTATTCCGTTCCACAAAACCCTTCCGGTTTTGACTTTGGAGAAAAATAAGGAAAGTATAATTTTGGTTGACTTTCCAATTTTGCCCCTGATATGATGGGAAAAAGTAAGATGAGATAGTTTGGTTATTAGTGAACAAGTATGATGTAATAGATAAGGTGTGAAAAGGTAGGGGTAAAAGTGGATTTTTAATAAAAAGTGGAAATGTTTTGTGGAAAGCAAAAAAAACCGAAAGAGAAAGGGTTTTGTGGAATGGAGGGAGTACAAGCTATTATTCGTCCCCTTTCCCAATTCTCTTCCCAGGTGGAACTATGATTAATTACGGAGAACTCGTCTACATTTTTTTCTTCATTTAATCATTTGCAATATCTTCAACATTTTGAATTTTTGATCAATTATATTACTCTCTCTGTCCCACAAAAAAATTCTCATTTTGATGTATTTTGGGTCAAACAGTTACAGGCTTTAATCATAAATTAAATATAATCTAAATAAAGAGATGCTAAAAAATTTTGAGATATCAAAACTAGATCCTAAGATAAATCTAATTATATTAAATTTATTTTATAATTCAATATATCTTTCTCACAATTTGTAGTCAAAGCGTGTAAACATTTGACTAAATACTATTCAAAATGAGAATTTTTTTGTGGGATGGAGGGAGTATCACTTAAAAGAATACTCATTTTTTCTTAAAAAATCAATGTTATGATTTATAATGCCTGATTTAATTTATTTTAATTAATTCTTTAGAATTGATATAAAAGAATATATTACTCTCTCCGGTCCTAAAAATATATCATGTTTTGATTTTTTGGGTCAAATAGTTATATACTCTTTGATTATAAATTAAAAATAATCTAAATAAATAAATAATATAAAAATATGATGTATCAAAACTAATCGTATTATCACTTGCATTTTGCGTTTTTTTAAAATGTTAAAAATAAATGTTGTCAAACGAGCCCACGGTGATGTTTTTACAGTAAATATTTTGGTATAACTATAGATATTATGGCATTTATTTTTCGGTAAACCATATCTTCGTTACTCCATATAAAATTTGATTATTATACCCCCGCCCGGACTCCCCGGCATTAAACTGTAAACTCACTTTTGAAATGAAAAAAAAAAGTAATTGTTGTCAAAGGATTCCAAAGTAATATTTTATAATATATATATATATATATATATATATATATAAATTATGGCATTATTTTAATTAAATATATTATTCGGTACACTATATCTTCGTTAACATTTTAAAGTACTTCGTACAAAATTTGGGACAAACCACTTTAAATAAGAGTAAATTATAGATAAAGTATCAAAATAGAAATTTTATGTTTTTATTCTCAAAATAAAAGTTCGCAATGTGGCACTGTATATGAATATTTGACTATACGTTTTTGGTAATGTACATGATCGTAAATGCATTTTAACTGATATTTTGGGAAAAACATGGAACTCCTATTTTTATATATTTTCAATTCTTTTTTTCATAAAGAGAAGAAAAATTTTGTGTGTGAAATAATAAAAAATTGTTTTAAAAAATGTTTGTGTTTGAAATAAAAAATTTAACATATACTTCATTTGTCAAATTAAATAATTTCTTTTTTTGTCTAAAAACGTTTTTATCTTTTTGAATATGCCAGGACCAAAAGAATACAGGGTAATGTCTTTTTAATTTATAGTTAATTATATATTAATAACATTTTTTTGGACCAATAATGGGCAAAAGATTTCTTTCATGACTTAATTTTTTCTATTCTATAAAAGTATTTTTCATGTACTTTTCTTTTTCTTTTTCTTTTTTTTCTATTCTTTTTTCTTTTATTTTAATTTTGATTAAAGAAACAAGATAAATTTAATGAACAGAAAATGAGAAATGAGCTTTAGTAAAAAAGAAAATATTTCATTGATTTTTGTATCATGAAAATGAACCAATAAACACTTCCTTTGGACAAAAAATAAAAATGTTTAATTTGAGACAAATGAAGTCTACGTTAATTCTTGTTATTTAATTGATTTTTATTGCAAACACAAAAAAATGAATATTAAAACATTATAAAAACATTTAAAAAATTATGAAAAAATAGTAGAAAAAAGAAAATAAATAAAGAATAGAGGGCCGTTTGTGCCAATTTCCAAAACTATAGGAGACAGTGGAGCTATTCACATAATATTTGAAAAATATTTTAGCCTAGAAGGGTATTGGCTAATTGGCGTAGCAATGTGATAACTGTGAGAGGCAATGATATAAATTTTGAAACTATAGAGAGTAACGGTACACATTACCAAACCACGAGGGGTCATGGTGCAATAAAATCCTAAAAATTGATCATATCCAGGCCCGGACTCCCCGCTATTAAACTGTGAACTCACTTTTGAAATGAAAAAAAAAACTTTTTCTTTTTTTTTTTGCGTAAAGGAAAAAAAGACTTTTAAAATATAGTGGATGAGCAAAAAATCCAATAATAGTGGCCGGATTGGTATTTTATTAATCATTTATACATGAGAGCTTAGAAAATGGAATGTTTAATCATGGTAATTAATAATTACGAGGAATATAAATGTACGAAAAAGTCAAAATTAACAACAGTGAGTTGTCTAGTGCAGTTTCATTTATTTGGTCGTTGTGGCTCACACCACACCAATGATATTCGCATCACAATTTTTAAATTAAACTTTCGATTGCATTTTTTATGTTAATTAATTTAAAAAATTTGTGTAACTATTTATGTGAACACGTAAAATTTACTCCCTCCGTCCCATGAAACATTTCCTGTTTCAAAAATGGCACACCTTTAAAATGAGTAATTTTAGTGTTATTTTTTAATTATGACTAATCTATTCTACACATCTCATCCTACTCTTTTATAAAGTAAGGGCAAAATTAGAAAATAACACCAAAATTACTCATTTTAAGGGCGCGCTTTTTTTGAAACAGGAAATGTTTTATGCGACGGAGGGAGTATTATTTAATGCGTTATTTAACAACCAGAACAGTTTATTTATAGAAGCACAAAGTGAAGTATTACCTCTCTCAGAGTTTGTCTAGTTTTTACTTTTTCCAGTCAATTATTTTTTATTTTTGTCCTATAATTAAATAAAATTTATATTACATATTAATTAGGTAAAATTAAATTTTGAAAATATTTGATATAATAAATCTAATAAAATAATTTTTGTATCAATATTTAATATCATTTTCACTTAACTTGGAATCAAAATTTATTAATTTTGACAAAAAAAAGTTAAAAGTAGAAAAATACTCCGAATCATGCTCCAAATAAGATTGAATAGTCATGAATGATGCTTTAAACAAAGTACTTTATCCTTTTATAATGCAAAGGTAGTTATGTTAAAAAAAAAATACTCACCTCAAATGTTTCAGAAATCACTTTGTATGAAAATTGATGCAGAAATTAAAAAATAAAATGTACTCAATTGTATATATTTAAACTTTTATTATATGTATGTTGTTCACCTTTTGTTTTTCGATAAATTGAGAAAATACATTTAAACAAATTAAATACGTACATATAATGACAAAAGAGTAGGGTATAAGATATAACTATCCATTATAATAATAGTGTTTAAAAAAATGTACAAATGAAAAATGATTAGTTATGAATGAAGTGTAATGGGATGAATAATATAAAAACTTGGTTTTAATACATTTATCTTTGAAAGATAAAAGTGTTAAGCAGGGAGTAGTTTCAATAAAGATGAGGAAACAAACATGGAGTAAACTTAGGGTTTGGAGCCACCCTATTCTCTATCTAGCGGGACCCACGTAAGATACAGAGAGAAAACAAACAAACAAATGGAGAAGTTGTGGACTTTCGTTCACCACAAATTAGAAAAACATTGCCACTTCTGTCCACCCCACTTGGTGACTCTGGCGGCCGGAACCTATTGCCACAATTTGATTTTTTTTATTATTAAATTGAAGCACATTTTGATCACCAATTAAATATAAGTTAAAATAATTAATATTCTAAAAGTATGATATTTTAGAATAATAGTATTTTAAAATAAACTAGATTTTACTAAATTTAAATTATTACTAAATATATATTTTTTCGTAATTCACGGTCAAAGGGTGCAGAGTTTGACCAAAAAGCCAAACTATGATGGCAATTTAAAAAGCCAAAAAGAAATTAAAAATAAACATTACGTATTAAAAAATTACACAAAAACTCTACAAAACAAGAACTAACATGATGGCAATTTTTGATCAAATGAATAAAAAAATAGGGAAAGAAAATGAATAAACTTTGACTATGTGAATAGTAAATATGCAACTTAAACTGGGACATAGGGAGTACAAAATTAGATGTGACAAAAATATTTTATTTTATCAAATAATCAATCAAACACACAAATAAACAAAAATATCCATAAATTTTGAATGGTGAATCAACACACAAATAAACAAAAATGTCCGTAATTTGAAAAAGTGTTCAATCTCATCCGACAGTCCCCGGCCTCATTCACTCGCCCCTCTGAAATTCCAAAGGTTTAATCTAGTCATCCAGACTCCATAATATTATTATTATTATTATTATTATTATTATTATTATTATTATTATTACTATTATTATTATTACTACTACCAAGTATTTTTGGGATTAAGAGTGGTAGGAAAACATAAAGCGATCGGTCTCAAATTTTGTCATCAAACCGGTTACTTACATTCAATCTGATGGAGTAGTTTTTTGTTCAATTCATTTTAATTTGTTTTGTCTATCCAATTCCTTTTAATCTTGCATAATATACTTGAATATTTTTAAATTTCTCCTTGTAAATCAATTTTATTTTTACACAAGTTTTTTAATGTATACTTCAAAATAATTACTACCGAGGTAGCATTTTTCTAATGT